AATTGTTGCGTTTATGGGCATTGACGTTTTGGCCCTAACATGAGAGCGTGGTCCTTCCCCGGTCGAGTCGCTATACTTATAAGCAAACAAAGTTTTTATTGGTAATTCTTACCAAACGTTACTTATTTAAACGAAATTTTAAAAAGTTTTTAAAATTTTAAAAGAAGACAACTACGTTTTTTTCGTGTATGTCGAATTTAGTAGGTATGCATAGAGTAATTGAACTAATAATTCTATGGTAGGTATATGTTTCTCGTCCTTTGAATTCTTTTTTTACTTCTTATAGACGTTCAATTTTTATGCTAAGCACGGCTTACCTAAATGCAGACACTATAAAATGAGTAGGTAATATGTTTTTTCCACGTTTTTATTAACTCGCATGGACGTATAAAAAAAGGTCACCTTTTTTTTAATTATATATTTGAACTACAAATATTATTTTGGGGTATTATTATTACTAATCTATTCTTAACCGGTCGGGCTGAATAAATATATAAAAGGAAATGATAAATATAGTTTTTATAAGTATATATATACTAGCTGACCCGGCGAATTTCGTACCGCCTAACAGTCGATTCTTTACTTTTTTTAATACTTATCCTGCTATTTGGGACACCCGGTCAGCTAGTAAGATAAAAAAATAAAAAGAAAGTTGATAAGTCAACAATTACATTATGTCAAAAAATAAAAATTATAAAACACTATTGACAAATATTGACATTAATATTTATACGATACTAACGTCACTCAATTGTGTTGCCCGGAACCCCTCCACTAACACTTAAACTTTATGGTATGGTATTAAAGTTCAAATTGACTTTTAAGTATTATTACGAATCTTTTGTATGGGAATATAGAAAAGTGTTGTTTTTAGACTTTTTCAGGCAATTTTTTAAATTTCTCTTTCCGTAAGAACCATCTTCGTACTTCAAGGAATATTATAAAAAAGAATTAGCGAAATCGGTTCAGCTGCTCTCGAGATTTGTGCTTAGCAACACAGTCAGCAATTCATTTATATTATATATATATATGTGTATATATAATATATAAATGATATATATATATATATATATATATATATATATATAAATATATCCCTCGATTTTAGAGCCTTGTGGAATATTTACAGAATATTTAGACCCAACGGTATGACATTGGTCCCTTGGGAGAGAGGTAAAGCCCTACTGTGGGATGCTATTTGAGTAGACACTCTGGCAGCCTCTCATCTCAGGGGTATCTCGTTTAGAGCCGGGGTGGCATCAGAGGCAGCTGAACTAAGTAAGTAGCGCAAATATGAGTCTCTGAGAGTAGCAATTTGTGTATTTCAGTGGTAGAGCCACGCGGCAGCTTTTACTGTCGCACGGATAGACCGGCTCGAACCGGGGTGGTACCACGACCTCACAGAAAACCAGCGTGAAGTAGAGCGGAGGCCCTTTTTACTAGAAATGAGGCATTCCATCTTAGTCCTCACGGGTGACAACGCATCTACATTTTGATTTGTAATATAGGATGGATGTAGATGTCTATGGGCCGCAGCAACCACTTACTATCAGGTGAACTATGTGCTCGCTTGTCACCCTTATCCTATAAAAAAATTAAAAAAAGACTATCAATCCGTGGGGTCCACGTGCGGCGAAGTTCCTAAAGGAACTCCATCCACGGCTAGTCGTTGCCAGGGGAGACGGTGTTAGGGGGAAAGGATAAGAAACCGGCGGACCTAAAATCGGAGGACGGAGAGACCGGTATCGAGGAGCACTGTCTTCTACATTTCAGCCCGGAGCGGTCCGTCACGGAGTCCCAGTCGCCTCAGACGACCCGAGAGGCTGACCGGGATGAACCCGTTCGCTGAGACGACTACAGGAATAATTTCGCTCGGCAGACCACCCCACATGTCACCTCGTGAGCCAGGTCCAGATATACATGTGTCTTGTACACGCCCGACAAAAGACTATTCAGCACTTTGGTCAAGCGTGCATAAAACAGATCGCAAGCTGTTTCATGTCCGCCTCTTCAATACCTATATTTTTGACATACCCAGGTATCGGTGTGTTTCAGTCTCGGAAAGGATCCTTAAGTTGATGGGTATAGATAAGTCTATGCCGTCAGAGTTAGCAACCCTAACCCTCTCAACATGGACGACCGCAAACCTTATCCGTCCCCAGCTCCATTCTAGTAGAATTGCTACACATTGAATAAAACTACTGTTACGGATATTATCGCATTTAATTTACTTATTTTTATTAAATTCCCGACGTTTCGGGTGCTTTAAGCACCCATGGTGACGGGGTACCGAGTTGATTAACGTCCCGATGTCGAAGTTAACCCGGACTACCTTCAGCTTTTTAATGATTAATTTTGGTCTGATCTACGCGGAATGAACTTACTGTGTCTTGAAGTCTTGCAGTGGTAGGCTTGGGTTTAGTTTTAATTTTATTAATTACAGGATCCCAAGCAGGTGGTAGTACCCAGCCTCCCTCTGTATTGAAATTAGGATGTTTTTTAATTTCAATAGCCTTATGTATCATCCTTGGCAGGAATTGATGTTCTTTTGCGAGAATTTGTAGTTTATGAAATCTAATGTAATGGCGGGGACCGTCTAGGATATGATCACAAACTGCAGACTTCCCGGAACGTTGGTGTTTCACGTCAGCTATGTGTCCTTTTACGTGGATTTTGATAGATCGTTTTTTTTTGCCCTATATATGAGAGACCACATTCACAATTAAGCTTGTTACACTCCTGCATCTTGTAGTGCAATATTGCACTTGATGGAAGGTACGAACTGACTAATCTTTTTCGGCGGCTTGAAGAATGTTCTAATAGAAACTCGCTTCAAGACGTAGCCATCCTAATTAATAGAATCAGGCGTTACTTTGGGGAAATCCATTATATTAAAGTTGGTAAAAAAAAATTACATATCAAAATTATATCTCATAGTCTCTTCGTAACTTTATTCATGGGGGGTATATTGCCACAGTTGCCACGCTTGACGAGTGAGTTGGCAACCGCAGTTTTTTTTGTTGTTTTGCTGTTATCAGAAAGATGCTGCAGCCCATCTTCTGCCTCAGTTTCAGCATAATCCGCTAAACGATGAACGTTGTAAATCTATTCTTCTAACATTAATCAAGATTCATTTTCCAGAGTATAGTACTGACTTTTTAATTTTTCTTTCAGTTTAGGCAATACTCTAAACCGCAACAACAACTAATATAGAAAAGAGAAAAGCGTCGAATAAGCACACATTCAAAAATACCATACGGTGACATTATCGGTCAGAGCTAAGTTAGCTGAGGCACATGAGTTAATAATTTTACTCATGTAGCTCAGGTGTGCGAGCAAACCGGATTCGGAGCACCAAAGAAAATGTTAATTGCAATTTGTGCTAAACTGCTAAGAGTTGTGCTGAGGGAACCTGCATAATTTCCGAGGAATAAAATTAACATGCGCGGCGAACTGTTTCAAACCCTTTTAAAAATGAGAACTGTAACTTTGTTTTTTAAAATTATAGTTATCAAAATGGTAATATCTAATTCAAAGTCGACTGCTGAGCCTTCTCATAGAATGCTTCATAAGAGGGATATTTGCAATAGTTGCCACACTGAGCAGGCGGGTTGGCAATCGTAGCTTTTCTAGTTAATATGAAGAAGACGATGCTGCCCATCTCCTAATTTGTTTCCCTCTATCACCTCTTACAACACCCACGGAACGATATGAGGTAGTGGATATTCTTACACCGCCACTACAGAGTAACACTGGTATTCATAATCAACATAGAGGCTCCCCTAGAAGATAATTCAGGCGCTGTGTGTTCAATTCAATCTTTAAGATTGATAGACAAAAGAAACCTCCAAGATTTTTGTGAAAAACATAATTAAATAATAGACAATTACGCATGAAACTATATTCAGGTAGGAGATTCTTCAAAAGATTGTTTCAACATTCAACCTCTAGTTAAATATTAAATGATGGATTACGGGGGACTCTTCACCCATCGACCATGAATTACAGTGGCTTTTTATATAGAACTTTTTATATAGAGCACACAGTTCACCTGATGATGGTGGCTGTTGTGGCCCATAGACTTCTACATCTATCCTCGATTTAGAATGAAAATGCATCGCATCTGCGTTGTAACCCCTGCGGTATAAAATGAAATGCTTGTTTCCAGTAAAAAAGGTCTCCGGTTCACTATACTCATCATACGATCCGCCGCTGGTATTTTGTGGGAGCGTTGTCCTTCTCTAGAGGATCCATTGATGATACAACCATAATATGGCTGCAGCATGCTTCTACCACGTTAAGAAAAAATATTTTTAAATAAATAAATAAATTATAAAGTAAAGTAAAGTAAAGTTGCAGCCTATTTACGTCCCACTGCTGGGCACAGGCCTCCTCTCATTTCTGAGAGGGTTTTAGGGCAAGGAAATGTCCACCGCGCTGCCCCAATGCGTGTTGGCGAACTTCACGTCTTCGAAATATTTTTTTTGTTATTTCTAAGACATGCAGGTTTTCTCACGATGTTTTCCTTCACCGCCGAGCACGTGGTAAATCAGCACTTAAAATTGCAATTAACAATTTCTTTGGTGCCGGCGGGGATTGAACCCGGGTTGCTCGAGTACTGTGAAGCTTACAGCGAGCGCTAACCATCTGAGCAACCACGGCTCATTATAAATAAAATATAAATAAAAAGTATTTATTTGCCACAAAACAATATAATGTTAAAATTTAAATAAACAGCTTAATAACCAGCGTTCTTGGCACGATACCGCATTATTGTATATAGTAAAATATTGTACATGAGAATCTTAATAATTAGTTGTGACAAATCGGTCTGTGACTCGCTTGTAACGGGAATCCCATTATTCCTGCTATTCTACCACAGCCTGTAATGCCATTTTTTAATGATAATGATAAAAATTATGTGTAAATAATTAAAATCATATTCCCGTATTTCTGAACTACAGTTATGAGGAGCTCATAGGCGGGTGGAGGCGGGTCGCATGGGCAGCCTACCGGACCTGACGGAACGCGCGCGCCCGCTGGACCCCCGACCGGCCGCGCGGACCATCTCCGACCCGCACCGCCACCGAGCTGTCTTAACCCAGGTATCGCCTGAATACGACGACCGCGTGTCTTTGTGATCAGTTAGAACACCTATATATACTGCAGCATGAGTTCCTTTTTAGTGTTCCGTACCCAACGAGACCCTATTACTAAAGCTTCGATGTCCGTTTGTCCGTCCGTCATCAGGCTGCATCTCATAATCCGTAATAGGTAGACAGTTGAAATTATCACAGAATGTGTATTTCTGTTGCCGCTATAACCACACATAATAAAGATTAAAACAAACTAAAAATTAAAAGGGGCTCCCCTACTACTCAGAAATGAGAGGAGGCCTGTGCCCAGCAGTGGGACGTAAATAGGCTGCAACTTTACATGTAATCTATATTGAATAAAAATTTTTCTATTCTATTATATTCTATTGCATTGACATAGAATGTCGGAGAATATTTGCCATAGTTAATACCGGACGGAAATCCTGCACGGAAAAAGAATTTGTTTGGCCTACAAATATTTTTTCCGGATCGGGATGTTTGTCCTATGTATGTAAACAATAATTCATGTTAACAGTAAGCTGCCTTACTTTAAAACGTACAAGAAACAAATAATACTTTAAAAAAACTATATAACACGCTTTTGTCGATAACCGAACTAAAAAGTAGAAAATAATTTTCAATAAATTTATGAAAGCCGCAGTCTATTTAGTAAAATAAATTATTACAAGGCTGCTTAAAACACCGAAAATTTCGGGATCTCTACGGCGAACAAAATTAATTATAACTAAACAAAACAAAATTAAACAGCCATCTGACGGCTCTGTGGCGCAGTGGCTTAGCAATGAGTTGCTGCGCTGGGGGCCGCGGGTTCGAATTCCGCACGGAATAAGTATTTGTATGGCCTGCAAATAATTGTTCCGGGTCTGGATGTTTGTCCTTGAGCAATTTGTGTTTGTAAACTGCCTCCACGATACAGGAGAAAATCCTAGTGTGGGGGTAACGTTTTTTAATAAAAACAAAAAGCAAAAACTTTACATTCCATGGCTTCCCACATGATAGATGAAGAAATTAAAATATAGAGTGAGTTAAACAATTGATGCCGTGTAGTGGCAGTTAAGAATATCCACTACCCCATAACTTCCGTGGGTGTCGTAAAAAGCGACAAAGGTAAACAGGCAGGAGATGGGCAGCAACATCTTCCTGATAACAACAAACTTCCAAAAAAAATCTGCGGTTGCCAACCCGCTCGCCAAGCGTGGCAACTATGGCAAATACCCCCCTATGACGAGAGTAACAAAGAGACGGCCCCCAGTCCCCGGCGGCCCCGCTATTCCTGGCTACGGTGGCGACTATGGTAACGGCGGGGCAGGGGGTGCTAAGAATCCCCGTGGAGGTTCGGCTGCCACCTAAGACGATTCGACCTGGCAACATACAACGCACACATCCTGAGGACTAACGAGAAGATCGTGGAGCTGGAAGAAGAGATAGACAAGTTACGCTGGCATATTATAGGATTATCCGAAGTACGAAGAGAGGGGGAGGACACGGTAATTCTCGAATCCGGCAACTTGCTCTATCACCGGGAGGGCCATCTGTACCAAGGAGGTGTCGGATTTATCGTCCACAAGTTTCTCGTTAACAACGTTGTTAAGATTGAGAGTATGTCGACGAGGGTTGCGTACCTAATACTCAGATTCACCAAACGGTATTCGCTGAAGGTCATACAGGTTTACGCACCAACCTCGGCACACCCCGATGAGGAGGTGGAGGAAATATATGAGGATATATCTAGAGCCATGCATTCCTCCAAAACCCAATATACGGTGTTAATGGGAGACTTCAATGCAAAACTAGGCACAAGAGAGAACGGTGAGCTGAAAGTAGGGAAATTTGGAATAGGGCAACGGAACCCAAGAGGCCAGCAGCTGGCCGACTTCATGAAGAAAGAAGGACTCTTTATGATGAACTCTTTCTTCCAGAAGCGGCTCCACAGGAAGTGGACCTGGTCGAGCCCCGATGGTTCCACAAAAAATGAGATTGACTCCATTATGACGACCAGACGACAACTGTTCAGTGATGTGTCCGTGATCGCGAGGGTGAAAACTGGTAGCGATCACCGAATGGTTAGAGGCACACTGAACCTAAACGTTAAGTTGGAGAGGTCTCGTATAATGAAGTCAACGCTCCGTAGAGCACGAGAGGTGCTCTATTCCAGAGTCCCCAAATAGAGCTCGAGTTACAAAACCGTTTTCAGTGCCTAGAAGACTGCAATGAAGTGGACGATATGAATGACAAGCTCGTGGAAACTCTCCATGCGGTTGGAGCTAAGTTCTGCAAGACCCGCCACAGAAGAACACAAAAACTCTCCGATTACACTCTCAATCTCATGGCTATTAGACGGGAGATGAAGCTACATTCTTTAACAGATTTGACAGCATACAGGCAACTGAACAAACAGATCTCCAAATGCATGCGGCGGAACTTACGCAACTTCAATACAGCTTGTATTGAAGAAACGATCAAGCGGAACCAAGGCTCCAAAATCTTTGCCAGAGATCTGTCTGCCAGAAAGAACCAACTGTGAAAGCTGAAGACCGAGTGTGACAGCATCAATTCCGGGGCACCTGAGATTTTGGTGAGATTGCGAGGTTCTATGGGCAGCTGTACACGTCATCGTTGGAGCCAGACGCAAGTGTGAGTAACGATTCAAGAGCGAGTCTTATCCGACACTATTCCGGAGATATTTCGGACGTCAGTCTGAGCGAGATTAAAATGACTCTCCAGCACCTTATAAACGGCTAGGCCCCAGGCGAGGATGGAATTACGGCGGAGCTTCTGAAAGTGGGTGGAAAATCGGTACTTGAAGTCCTTCAGAAGCTCTTTAATTCCGTCCTCCATGGTGGCATTACACCGGAGCCGTGGAGCAGAAGTGCGGTGGTCTTGTTCTTCAAGAAAGGTGACAACGCTCTCTTGAAGAACTACAGACCGATTTCCCTTCTGGGCCGCTTCTACGTGCTGTTTTCGAGAGTCATTACGAATCGTCTTGCGCGCAGACTCGACGACTTCCAGCCTCCCGAACAAGCCCGTTTCCGAAAGGGCTTTAGCACCATAGACCACATACATACCCTTCAGCAAATTGTACAGAAGTCCGAGGAGTACAATTTGCCAATATGTTTGGCGTATGTGGACTATGAGAAAGCCTTGATTCCGTCGAAATTTGGGCGGTGCTGCAGTCCCTTCAACGGTGCCAAGTTGACTGTCGGCATATCGAAGTGCTGAAGTGCTTGTACAGTAGGGCTACGATGGCTATCCGAGTACAGAACCAGAGTACGAAACCTATCCAATTGCAGAGAGGTGTAAGACAGTGTAATGTTATATCCCCGAAACTCTTCACCGCTGCATTGGAAGACGTTTTCAAGCTTCTGGACTGGAAAGCATACGGTATTAACATCAATGACGAGTACATCACTCACCTTCGATTTGCCGACGATATAGTCCTTATGGCAGAATCGCTGGAGGACCTAAGCACCATGCTCAATGACCTCAATAGCGTCTCTCAACGAATAGGTCTTGGGATGAACATGGACAAAACAAAGATCATGTTTAATGTCCATGTCACACCTATGCCGGTAGTTATTGGGAGCACTAAGCTCGAAGTTGTTGACGAGTATATTTACCTGGGACAAATAGTCCGACTAGGTAAGTCCAACTTCGACCGAGAGGTCAATCGACGGATTCAACTCGGCTAGGCAGCGTTCGGGAAATAGTCGGAGAGCTGGCTACAAAAACGTGAACTGATAAGGTGTAGTAACGAATTATATATATAACCTCTCCTTGGTAGCTTATAAGTATAGAGCAAGGCCCGTCAGAACTCTCTCCCGGGGCGGAAGGCGTGGGTGGGCGGTCAAAGTCGTAAATTTTCAATAAGAAAAAAAATTATTAGGTGCAGTTCCGAAATTTGGTAGAGTTATAGTTTTTAACTGTAAGAATCTAGGAAAATTATTGTCAGAAGTCTAGCTTAAAGACTGTCAGAAGTTGTAACGAAATTTTTTAAATTTAAACCACAAGGTGCAGTTCTGACAAATGCATTTTCATATATGTATTATTTGTTGCTTATCGAACCTGTGTATAAATTGTCAGAAGTCTTAATAATGGCTAAGTACATGAAAAATTGATGATATAGTCAGAAGTTGCTGAAGCGGCTATCGCGTCGGAAAGCAACGTTTCGAATCTAGTTTTGAGTTAAAATAACAAGGTGCAGTTCTGACAATTGCATTTTATATTATTTATAGCTTACCGAACCTGTGCATATATTGTCAGAAGGCTAAATAATGGCTAAGTAAAGAAAAATTGATGATATGGCCAGAAGTTGCTGAAGCGGCTATCGCGATGAAAAGGAACGTTTCGAATCTAAATAGCAGTTTAATACTGCTGTGTTTCGTATGGTGGGTGTAGAGAACCGGTGACCCTTTTTACTGGAAAAGAGGCATTCCATCTTAGTCCTCACGGGTGACAACGCATCTGCGTTTTGATTCGCAAACGAAGATAAATGTAGATGTCCATGGGCCACAGCAACCACTTACCATCAGGTGGACTGTGTGCTCGTTTGTCACTCGGTCCTATAAAAAAAAATTTACGACCTTAACCGCCCACCCACGCCTTCCGCCCCGGGAGAGAATTCTGACGGGCCTCGCTCTGTACTTATAAGCTACCAAGGAGAGGTTATATATATAATTCGTTACTACACCTTATCAGTTCACGTTTTCGTAGCCAGCTCTTAGACCAAAACTACGACACATCTTCTCGTCAGACATACCTCAAAACCTTAAAAAAAATTGTACAACCAGTGCGTGTTGCCAGTGATGACTTACGGATCTGAGACGTGGTCCTTCACTGCTGGCCGTATGAGTAAGCTCAAGGTCGCTCAGCGTGCTATGGAGAGGGCTATGCTCGGGGTTTCTCTGTGTGATAAACTTAGCAATGAGGATATCCGCAGTAGAACCAGAGGAACCGACATAGCCCAACGGATTAGTAAGCTGAAGTGGCAGTGGGCCGGCCATATAGCTCGAAGAACCGACAACCGTGAAATCAAGTAATTACTCGTACCGGCGGGCGAAGTTTAGGGCAAACCCCCACGAGATGGAGTGACGACCTGGTAAGACATGCAGGAAGTCGATGGATGCAGGTGGCTCAGGACCGTGCTTTGTGGCATTCCTTGGGTTAGGCCTATGTTCAGCAGTGGACTTATGAAAGGCTGTAATGATGATGATGATGATGAAATAATTGATATTTTCAAAAGTTATCGTGTTTACCACTGCATGCAGACTTGATAAATCTAAACCATAAACCACTAAAACCACTTTTTATGTAAAAATAGCTATTAATCGATTTTAAAAAAAGTTCAACAATCATTTATCTTTCTGACAATGTGCTTTTTATATCATTTATATGTTCAATATGATTGTTAGATACGATTTTATGCGATAAAACGTTGGAATCTTGAGTTTTATGCGCTAGTCAGCGCTAGTAGAACATACCTACGCGCTTACCGCTTATGGCATGCAAAAAGCACACAAATAGCAAGAGGAGATTTCAATTAATACTTCTGACGTAGTTATAACATTATTTATTACGATTATTTATTAAAAATAATTTTACTTGGACGTCAGTTGGTCGGTACTGATGTGAACAAAATATCTTTCGAAAAACTGAACTCATCACTTTGATTTTTTTATTAACTTTAGATTTTAATCCTTACGAAGCCTTTTGAATTTCACTATTGTGAACCGTCCCGTTCATTAATATTCAATTTTTTTTTAATTTTTAGGCGGCAGTAATGCATACCTCCGTGCTCCATACTTAAACCATGCATAATTCAATGTGATTAGCATGGACGTTATACGTCCATGGTGATTAGGTTTTTTTTTCATTAATTATTTGACTATTTTTTTTTCGATAACTAAATACGAATCGCCGGTATCAAGCTGTCAAAAAACTTTCGTGTTAATTAAACAGAAGCATTTTTTTAGCTTTAAACGAAATACGTGTTTCGGTAATTACTAAAAGTAAATTGATTATTCAAAACATTACATAAGCGTTCGAGGATTTGGATTATGATTTTGATTTGGATTTTCCAAATTTATTTAGTTTTTTTATACTGCACTCATAATACGTTGTTTCAAATATTTCATGTAGCTTAACTTAAGGGCGAACTCCATGCGAACGACCTTGAGCATTTGGTCCGCGGCGCCGACTCGCTACGATATATCGCGTAAGAAATATGCAAGACTGTACGAATGTAGTATTATTTTTTCAACATCAATAAACTATTTTATGGAAATACACACGGCGTACGGCGCTAAATGTATTTTAATTTTTTTATTCGGTATATTAGTTGCATTGTATTAGAATTATGTATTCTCATATATTATCTAATTATGAAATTTTATAATTAATTATATATTAAAAATGAAGCATCGAAAATTGTGAGTTTAAAAGATACCGACTCACTATAGGTAAAGAGATAGATAGCTCGCCTTTTGTACAAATATTTGGTGCAATAAAGAATAAATAAATAAATAGGATGTTTCGCAGATGTGTTTTTGATTATTGTTAATTTTTACGTGTCACGTATTGAAAAGTAAATACCTACCTACTAATTTTTGAACTGAGTACCTTGTAACTTAGCCTGCTTATTACTTATGCTAGCTGACATTATCCTCACCCCAATGATTGATGAGGATGAAAAAAACATGTTTGTTTTTATTCTTATTCAATTTTATTTCTACATACGTAATTATATTTATTTATACATAAGGGTAACTTTAATAAAGGTAATACAAAAATCAACAAGAAATATAAGGGTTCAATCTTTCAATTTCAATTTTAAAAAAACGTTACCCCACACTAGGATTTTCTCCTGTGTCGTGGAGGCAGTTTACAAACATAAATTGCATAAGGACAAACATCCAGACCCGAAACAATTATTTGTAGACATCGATCACTAATAAAAAACTTTGTAGTCCATACAAATACTTGTTCCGTGCGAGATTCGAACCCGCGGCCCCCAGCGCAACAACTGATTGCTAAGCCACTGCGCCACGAAGCCGTCGCCGGGTTATAGGTAAAGTGACCATACGTCCTGTTTTGAACGGGACTGTCCCTTTTCTCGGTCACCTGTCCCATTGTCCCTAAACAAACCTCCGGGACACAAAATTGTCCCGTAACTCGTTGGATGGAAGAATTCAAAGTCAACAATCTTTAACATAATTTTTTTAATCGAATATATTTTATGTCTACCTGGTACAAATGCTCCAGTAGAAAGAGTATTTTTCTATTTTGAATAAATTGTGGACGTCTGAAAAAAACACTTATGGTTCCAGTTCTAAAGGCGATGTTGATAACAAAGGTAACAATAAAAAAACTTGCCCAGAATTTTATTCTTATTTAAAATCATCACCAACTTTATTAAAGCAAATTTAATCCAGTGACAAATGTAATTAATAATTAAAAAAAATATGTTGCATTTAATAATTACCGTTTATACCGAATATAATTTTATAGTGAACACTAATTGTATAAAGTTATAGTTTTTAGAGTATAAATAAACCCATGTCCGTTTTTTGAGTTAAATAATAAATGGTCAGTTTAGTTTTTTTTTTTAGTTAAATTTAGTTTTAAAAATTTTTAGTTTATAGGGCTTTTTGGGTTGTAATTTAATGATGCCCGGGTAGGTATTAGTACTTACTTAGTAAAAGTAGGTATCTAATCATAATACCTACATAGGTACCTATTGTGATTAGTTATGCTGGGTAGGTATATTAATACCTACTTAGATACTTTTTACCGAATTACCGGGTCTGGATGTTTGTCCTTGTGCAATTTATATTTGTAAACCTACTAAGATATTGTGGTTAGGTATTAGAATTATTTTTAACTGTATACTATACTGATAATATTGAATTAGCTTTTTATAGTGTAAATTATAATATATGTCGAAATGTTAATTATGGATGCAAACCTCTCATGCTAATGGTGCTTCATTTTTTTATTTGCATTTACTTCAAAGAAAATACACGCAAAAAGCTTCATCGCGCAGTAAAAAACACAAGAAATATATGTATAACTAATACGAAAAATTATACCCAAAACAAACAAATAATATTAACTATAAATAATCTAATAAGTAATAATAATATTATCGACTGATAAAATGACGTGAGCGTGTGCGCTGGCCGACGCCGTGACAAACGACACGGATTTCACCTTCAAGAGCTTAGCGTTCACTGACTCCAGCAACCCTGTGGGCAGTACCCCCAGTTTTTAAAATAATTTCTTAATAAAATTAAATTTTGGTCTTTTGAAAAAATTTTATGATAGAAATGTTCATTAATAAATTGCCTATCCATTAGTATCAATCGCAAAATAAAATAATGCTTACTTTACGAGGAGATGCATGTTATCAATAATTATTTCACATTTATATGGTTTCGTTGTAAGGAGATTATTTTAATATTTATTCCTTTTGAAAAAAATTGGATATGACTCTTATGGAATCAAGATTATGTAGAAATATAATGTGTTTTTTATTAGTTGATATATCTTTTTAATAAAAAGAAGATAGCTCCTAAAAACTGCACAAATAACGACTAGCGCGACATTTTGCTCAACCATTCGCCTTAAGTAACATTCCCTTCTCCCCTTTATTGATTATAGATACCAGTCAGCACTATATACAGAAAGGAATGGCCTTGGAGAAAGCCGAGAGTGCCGGCCAGGGCGCCGGTCTTCGGAGCCATCAACCGCCGGCGGGACTCCGCGGCTTCCTCAGTTGGTGCCGCGTCGGTACGCCGGCTCATCACGAGACAGCCGCCCAAAGTGCCCAAAGCAATTGTCAGACGGTTCACCATACTGTGCATTGCGAGCGGACTCTGTGCAACCGCACTGCTACCGTTCACAGCGTTCGCTGGCGCCGAAGCCGGAGCTGTGCCACTCGCGATCATGCACACAGCGGCCGCAGTAGTCGCGCCTTTTTCACCATTCATACTTCAAAAAGCCGGACCGAGAGTAATCGTTACTGTTGCCCATGTGTTAGTTTGTGTTTTGTTGAGTGCGCATACAGTGGCGACGCCACTGACAGTTCTGCTCTTCCTATACGCCATTTGCGGTGTTACGCTATCGCCAATGTCTCTGGCGCTCACCGTGTCTGCTACCTCACTGGCTCAAGCGGCTGGCGATGAGTGTAGAAGGAAGATAGCGTTAAGACGAGCGTTGAGAGGTCTGCGCGCGTCTCAAGACTTGGGACTGGTGCTCGGCTCGCTCCTGCTCGGCGGGGCACTCATGATATGGCCAGAGGATGTTACTCCACTCCAAGCGACGACAGCGGCAACTAATGTGACAGTAACTGGATGGCCGCCGCCAGAAGAATTTTATATAGAAGATGACTATGAGGTAAGCTATCTGTTTGCGCCAAACGTTAAAATTTAAAATTTCTATAATTGAGACTAGTTAGCGCGCTTCGTCGATGTACGCGGCTAGCAGGCATCTCCCCGCCCGCGCGGAGCACGGGGGAGATCCGGTAATTTTGTCGTCAAGCGGAGTCGAGCATTGCTTACTGTGAATCGACTCGACTCGAGCCGCGTGGCGCCGAATTTTGTTAACGAATTTGTGCAGCGAAGAATAAGCGTGTAGTCTAGAATATTCGTTGCCAGGTTGTCTAATTATTTAGAAGTTAGTGTTTAATTGTACAGTAGCGTCAAGCGCCTTAAAGGGTCGCGTTTGGTTTTCGAAACAATTTGTTGCGGAGTGAGCGAAGGTGAACTTTGATCTACGAGTAGTGCCGCGTGTTACGCTTTATAATAAACGGGAGTTAGTTGCGTCTTGAAGTTAGTTAATTGTACGATAAAGTTAATAGACTGACATAGTGAAGAAGAAAGAAATTGACCGTGGGTGACGCCGCTGGAGATTACCATAATTTGGAGCGGTGCCGGAGTCCGGGTAGCTGCCGACTTCAACGGTCCAGTCAGGTCAACCACAATCCACACCACTAAAAACACCACTACACATGCACATACACACCTCCGTCCTGACCGAACCTTGAAACAGTCGTCGCCTCAGATACAGGTAAGTACTCTTTATTTGACTAGCCTTCCCATTAAAGTGTAGTAGGATAGAACATTTTCCATACGGCCAGTTGGGTCCCCACACTTAGTTGTCCGTCGAACCTAACAGCTGTATGGGCCCCTGTCTGGTAGACCTTAGTCTGGGCAACTAGGTGCGTGAACACTATCATTAGGTTTTTAAAGTCACTTATCACATAGTATCATAGAATTAAAGTGACAAACGAGCACACAGTCCAACTGGTCGTAGGTGGATGCTATGGCCCATAAACGTTAAACCATAATATAGCTGCAGCAGTATAATATCGTTTTCGCTTTATGTAAAATTTTAAGTGCCTAAAAATTTAGCTCGGCAATTTGATTATGTTATAGGTATCGTTATAAGATCGATCCTTCCCGTAAAAGCGCAAAGCAATTTATATACCGTGAACAATCATAAAATATCGGTTTTCATATCGTACCGTATATGTCACAGCGTCCACTTCAAGTGGCCTGTGCTGATTTGCCATCCTTGTATAAAATGGTTGATGACGAAAGTTTTTTTTTACGTTTACAAGATGGTTGACGATTGGCTGACCAGAACCATCGCACTTTGGACACTACATACCGTCACCGACGATTTACCCATTTAGATGTGGCGGTTTTCTAGATTTTTAATTTACGTAAAACCTTACGTGAATGCTATCAGGAAAATGATAAAAGTCAAGTACTAACGCACGAGAATGTTTTAATGCAATCTATCGATCATTTATTTGCAAGAATATGGATAACATCAGGTCTTAGTCTTAAGATAGTATATCTTTGTAGGTAAGTTCTGCCTTGTCTAGGCATACAAAAGTTAATAATATCATGAAGCAAACTTTTTTATAGGTGAGGGGGCAAACGAACATACGAGCCAACTGATGGTAAGTGACTACCGCCGCCCATGAAGAACTGCAACAGCAAAAGCGTAAGCTCTTTTCTTGAAGGTCCCTAAGTCGAATCGGTCCGGAAAAATCGCCGATGGTAAATTATTCCACAGAGAGGTCGTACGCGGAAGAAAAATTCTAGTGAAACGTACAGTGGTGGACCGCCAAGCATCCAGATGGTATGGATGGTATCGGGAGTTTTGCCGCGATGTGTGTTTGTGAAATTTGGCGACTGGGATTAATCCGAACAATTCCTTGGAGCACTCCCCGTGGTAGATTCGTAAGAAAATGCAAAGGGATGCAACATCTGTTCGCAGCGCCAGTGAATCAAGCCGATCGGAACGGACTCGGTTGTCGATGATTCGAGATCACTGGGGATCACGATCTCTGCGGATGAGATCTGCTGTAGCAAGGAATCTGTAGCCATTTGGACGATGAATCGGTCTGTTTTGGCATTACCCCTATGGGACCTATGGAGGCACCCGTAGATGCGCGAATGGTCATCGTTGTCTACGCGTAGAAAAAGGATGGACAGGTCCGAACCTTCAAGACTGCCGAAGCGTCGAGAACAGATGTAAGTACTCTCTGACGTATATGCGAACTCCAGCCCGAAGCACAAAGGAGTGTTCCAATTTGTACCCCGGGTAGGAGAGATACGAAGTATCAGCCGGTGAAGACACCTGCGTCTCGGTCAGAAAGAGCAAGGCCGGCTTCGCCGTCTCGAGATGGTAGTGAACGGCGTTTAGGTTCGAGTGAAGTCCCCCGATGTGGCAGAAATTCACGGATAGCGTGGCAGTAGTCGCCAGAGTAGAATTTTGCCCACGAATACGCAGGGCAGCCTGAGCACCCACGCTCAGGAGTGGAGTAGCTTGGTCGTGAATGCTCAGTGAGGGATTTTCCAGGGGCGCTGATAGCCCCTGGGGTAGTCATCCGTTTAATTCCGCTACCATGTTGATAAGCGAAGTAAGGGGGGGGGGGGGGGAATTGGATCTCCAGCCGCCTGCACTCATCGGACGAAACGCGGAAGCGAGCCGGTCCATACATGCAACAGCAAAAGCTGCCGCGTGGCTCTACCACTGTTAACTAAAAAACTATATAAAACAATGTCTTAATAACGTTTTCCAAACCGAATTTCTGCCATGGCAGCCAGTTTCAGAAGCAGTGATGGATTTATAATGAGGAGCACTGGTCTAGAGCTTCAGCGCAGAGAGAGCATCGGTTTTTTTTTATAGAATATGGGTTTTATACAAACGAGTCCTCCACCTGATAGTTAGTGGGTGCTGTGGCCCATAAACGTATACGTTTATCCTCGATTAAGAATCAAAATGCCGATGCGTTACCACCCCTGAGGACTAAGATGGAATGCTTCGTATCCAGTAAAAAGGGTATCCGGTTCTCTATACTCACTATACGAAACACAACAGTATTAAGCTGTTATTTTAGGCTGGTATTCTGTGAGAGCGTGGTACTTTCCCGGTCGAGCCGACCCATTCGTGCTAGAACCATAATATAGGTTGCTGCAGCGTGGCTCTACCACGTATAAATTTCCTAATAATGTCCTCCAGACCGAATTTCTGTCACGACGGCCAATCTCGAAAGCAGTGATGGATTTATAATGAGATGCACTAGGCACTGGCTTGACGCACTGTTCCCATTGAGCATGGATTATTAAATTTCTGATAAAAAAAATGTTTTATTATGGAAATAATGAATGCTGCTAGTCAATCCAAACAGGAAATTTGATTTATTGTGAAACATAATCCAAAATGGAAAAAATACCATATATTTTTTGAATATTTCGCGATCCATAAATATATATTATAATATGATATATATATATATATATATATATATATATATATATAGTCGTGTAGTGGCGGTTACGAATATCTACTACCCCATATCTTCCCGTGGGTGTCGTAAGAGGCGACAGTGGGAAACAGGCAGGAGATGGGCAGCAGCATCTTCCTGATAACAGCAAAATTACAATAAAAACACTGCGGTTGCCAACCCGCTCGCCAAGCGTGGCAACTATGGCAAATACCCCCATGATGAGAGTAACAAAGAGACGGCCCCCAGTCCCCGGCGGCCCCGCTACTCCTGGCTACGGTGGCGACCATGGTAACGGCGGGGCAGGGGGTGCTAAGAATCTTCGGTGAAGGTTCGGTTGCCACCTAAGACGACTCGACCTGGTAACATACAACGCACGCACCCTGAGGACTGACGAGAAGATCGATGAGCTGGAAGAAGAGATAGACATGTTACGCTGGCATATTATATGATTATCCGAGGTCCGAAGAGAGTGGGAGGACAATTCCTATAAAATCCACTATACGGTGTTAATGGGAGACTTCAATGCAAAACTAGGCACAAGAGAGAACGGTGAGCTGAAAGTAGGGAAATTTGAAATAGGGCAATGGAACCCAAGGGGCCAGCAGCTAGCCGACTTCATGGAGAAAGAGGGACTCTTTATGATGAACTCTTTCTTCCATTTCCTGTGGGGCCGCCCCACAGGAAATGGACCTGGTCGAGCCCCGATGGTTCGACAAAAAATGAGATTAACTTCATTATGACGACCAGACGACAACTGTTCAGTGATGTCTCCGTGATCGCGAGGGTGAAAACTGGTAGCGATCACCGAATGGTTAGAGGCACACTGAACCTAAACGTTAAGTTGGAGAGGTATAGTCTAATGAAGTCAACGCTCCGTCCCCTAGCGGAGCTAAGTTCTGCAAGACCCGCCGCAGAAGAACACAAAAGCTCTCCGATCACACTCTTAATCTCATGGCTGTTAGACGGGAGATGAAACTACATTTTTCAACAGATTTGACAGCATACAGGCAACTGAACAGATAGATCTCCAAATGCATGCGGCGGGACTTGCGCAACTTCAATACAGCTTGTATTGAAGAAGCGATCGAGCGTAACCAAGGCTGAAAAGTCTTTGGTAGAGATCTGTCTGCCAGAAAGAGCTAACTGTCAAAGCTGAAGACCTAGTGTGGCAGCATCGTTTCCGGAACACCTCAGATTTTGAGTGAGATTGAGAGGTTCTATGGGCAGCTGTACGCGTCATCGTAGGAGCCACACGCAAGTGTGAGTAACGATTCAAGAGCGAGTCTTATCCGACACTATTCCGAAGATATCTCGGACGTCAATCTGAGCGAGATTAGAATGGCTCTCCAGCACCTTAAAAACCCCAGGCCCTAGGTGAGGATGGAATTACAGAGAAGCTTTTGAAAGCGGGTGTAAAACCGGTACTTGAAGTCCTTCAGAAGCTCTTTAATTCCATCCTCCATGGTGGCACTACTCCGTAGGCGTGGAGCAGAAGTGCGGTGGTCTTGTTCTTCAAGAAAGGTAACAACGCTCTCTTGAAGAACTACAGACCGATTTCCCTTCTGAGCCGCGTCTACGTGCTGTTTTCGACAGTCATTACGAATCGTCTCGCACGCAGACTCGACGACTTCCAGCCTCCGGAACAAGCCGGTTTCCGAAAAGGCTTTAGTACCATAGACCACATACACACCCTTCAGCAAATTGTACAGAAGACAGAGGAGTATAATCTGCCACTTTGCCTTGCGTATGTGAACTGTGAGAAAGCCTTTGATTCCGGCGAAATTCGGGCGGTGCTGCAGTCCCTTCAGCGGTGCCAAATTGACTGTCGGTATATCGAAGTGCTGAAGTTTTAGTACAGTAGAGCTACGATGGCTATCCGAGTACAAAATCAGAGTACGAAACCTATCCAACTGCAGAGAGGTGTAAGACAGGGTGACGTTATATCCCCGAAACTCTTCACCGCTGCATTGGAAGACGTTTTCAAGCTTCTTGACTGGAAAGGATACGGTATTAACCTCAATAGCGAGTAGATCACTCACCTTCGATTTGCCGACGATGTAGTCCTTATGGCAGAATCGCTGGAGGACCTAAGCACTATGCTCAATGACCTCAATAGTGTCTCCCAACGGATAGGTCCTAAGATGAATATGAATAAAACAACCACTGCGTGTTGCCAGTGATGACTTACCGATCCGAGACGTGGTCCTTCACTGCCGGACGTATGAGGAAGCTCAAGGTCGCTCAGCGAGCTATGGAGAGGGCTATACTCGGAGTTTCTCTGCGTGATAAACTTAGAAATGAGGATATCCGCAGTAGAACTAGAGTAACCGACATAGCCCAACGGATTAGTAAGCTGAAGTGGCAGTGGGCCGGCCATATAGCTCGAAGAACCGACCACCGATGGGGAAGAAAGGTTCTCGAGTGGCAGCCTCGTACCGGTAGGCGAAGTGTAGGGCGACCCCCCACGAGATGGAGTGACGACCTGGTAAGGCATGCAGGAAGTCGATGGATGCAGGTGGCTCAGGATCATGCTTTGTGGCATTCCTTGGGGGAGGCCTATGTTCAGCAGTGGACTTATGAAAGGCTGTAATGTTGATGATATATATATATATATATATAAATCATTTTACTAAAAATGCCATAAATAATAATAAAACGTGATGGCGGCCTAAATACCCTACTTCCCGATATCATTATGTGGGTGTCGTAAGAGGTGACAGAGAGAAACTGAAACAGATGGGATAACAACTTAAAATAATAAAAAACTGCGGTTGAACCTATCCAAATATCCCTTCTATGAAGCTATCTAGCTATGTACCAGGGCGGCTGAAAAGTTCGTGGGTACTAAACGATGAGTTATTAGCTTGTTACTCATGTCACTAGTTGCAACACTAAGTAATATTATAAAAGCAATCACAAATTAAATTTGTACTTATAGTTAAATTATTTATTGAACAACATACATCACCATGTCAGCCGAATCTGGAAATCCTCGAAATTTTCAACATCGCGCCGTGATAAAATTCCTCGTAAAGAAGGGAAATACAGCGAAAGACATTTTTGAAGAGATGTCATCGGCTCTTCAGGATTCTGCGCCTTCATATACGATGGTGAAAAAATGGGCCCGCATATTTCAACAAGGACGAGAGAGCTGTGAAGACAACCCTCGCTGGGCCGCCCTATCACGGTACTGACCGAAGAAAACGTCCGAAAAGTCGAAAGTTAATAAACCTATAGTAAATTGTTATAGCCGACCGAAGAATTAAATTGTGGCGGATTGCTGAAGAACAGCAGATTAGCAAAGAACGAGTTGGAAAAATTTTACATGAGCATTTGAAAAGCGTGCGCTGGGTACAAGCAACGTCGACTCGCAAGTTGCAAAGATTTTTTGGAGCTAGTCATCGATAACAAGGAGGACATTTGGCAACGCTAGACACCGTAGATGAAACATGGATTTGCCAATATGATGAAAAAAGGAGAAAGGCCGCCGAAGAAATTCAAGCTGGAAAATTTGGCGTCCAAGCTAATGGCGACTGTTTTCTGGGATAGCGAGGGAACTTTGCTTACCGACTACATAACCAGGGGAACTACGATGCATGGCCAATATTACGCCAATTTATTGACTCAGGTTCGCGAGGCTATTGCACAGAAACTACGTGGGAAACTGACGCGCGGAGTGCTCTATCTGTAAGACAACGCGCCCGATCACACCGCACATGTTGCGAGGCAAGCCCTGAAAGACACGGAATTCTCAGAGATTGACCACCCTCCGTATAGCCCAGACCTAGCAGCTAGCGATTTTTTCCTGTTGTCCAATTTGAAATAGGACTTACGGGGTCGGACATTTGCAGATGACAACGAAATGAAAGCTGCGATTGATCGTCATTTTGAAGAGAAAGATACAGAATATTCTTGGGTGGGTTAAAGTCATTGTACTCGTATACGAGATGTGAAAAATGTATTTCACTTGAGGGGAGATTATATTGAAAAATAAAAAATAAAAACATTATATTCTCTTTCATTAAATACCTTAGGCCTCGGACTTAATTTCAATTTTTTTTTTCAATTTCAAATCGTTTATTGCTTCTATAATGTACAGTACATTAGCAGTTACAGTGACCATTATAGACCCTGTCGGGTGTTGCAATATACAAGAAATATACAATAAAATAATTAAATGGACTTATAACTATGTAACATCATTATATTATATTTGGCTATTTTGAAAATAAAGTTTTATTTAATACTTAGTTATTTTCTGCTTAGTAATTAACTATCAAAAAATTCAGTGAGCGTGTAAAAGCATTTGGAAATAAGATAATCATGAAGTTTTTTTTTTTTGAATGAACTTAATTTAACTTCAGATTTTATATTTATGGGTAGTTTATTGAATATTTTAATTGCCATGTAATATGGACTACAATTGAGCATTTTGGTTCTAGATGGGGGTAAATATAACCTATGTTTGTGCCTAGTATTTACATTGTGTGTTTCCTTTATCTGGGTGAAGAAGTGTTTATTTTTAAATACGAAGTTACTTATATCTTTTATGTAAATAGAAAATAAGGTTAATAATTTAAATTTAATGAAGTAGGGTCGACAGCTATGTCTGTTATCAATTCTGGCAAGTATCCTAACACATTTTTTTTGTAAAATGAACAATTCATCTGCATTAACACTATTACCCCAAAGGATAATGCCATATTTAAGCCATGAAAAGGCATACGCGTAATATGTGGACAGTGCAGTTTCTAAATTTGTGCTATGATTAATTTGATAAAGCGCATATGTAAATTTAGAGAGCTTGCATTTAATTTTTTCAATATTTTTCAATATTATCAGTTGTAAATAGACCTATTTTTTTAGTACACTTAAAGTAGGGATTAGTAAGTTATCATAAATCATTTATTATTAACCATGCGTTCTGGAACCCATGTGCACTGTGTGCCAGTTCCTCACCACAGGTCAATTTTGCCTAACATACATGAAAATTGAGAGACAGTTGTTGCTATCTCAGACGTGATGCAACAAGGTGGCTTTTCTTGCGTAATATAACTTGCAACGCTTTTCACGCGTTCCTCGACAAACATAACTAATTCATTACAACAGCAGCCCCAACAACATCCTGAATCAATTGTTATACTGAATGTATAGAGCACCGAGAGATCGGTGAGTACAGAGTACACTTCCTGCGCTGGCTGCAGGTGTAGAACTTCTGACAGTAAGCTCTATGTAATTTGTAAACCTAGCAAACCTGCGGGAAAACATATTACACCGCACTGCCAATTTTTCACTCTACATGCACTCTACATTCCACTTCAACATCCCAATCATTGGAAAGATTCCATAAGAAAACTCGTTTTATTTAAATGTGTAGAGTTCGCGTAAACATAAGAAATAATTAATAAGATTTTTCAGTCAATAGATTTTATTTCAACAGGAACGGACATGCGGCGCGGCGGGATGCCCACAAATACGCATGTTGTCCGGTGGCGCAGGTCTGAGCGGGTCGGGGCGGAGCGCCCTCACCGCTGCTTGGGCGGGGCTCGCACTTGCTGGGGCTGCGTTGGCAGCCGCGGGAGCTAGCGCCGCAGCAGCCCCACCAGACTCTCGCGCTTCCAAACGGGACCCGAGGGCAACCCTCGCCGCACCCATGGGACTATTTATAGGACTCCAGCAGGGGTTCATTTACACTTCATATATAAAGGCGAGATATAGAATCAGTCTGGGTACAGGACTATTGATTTAAGTCACTCTTAACATAACTGTACGCTCAGATCTCAGTGATATCTTTTATAATTGCATTTGAGAATCAAAAACTTTCAAAATATTAAAAAAACTATTTTGAAAACTATAATATGAAAAAACTATAATTAAATTAAATAAAAAAAAATAAAAAAATTATAATTAAGAAAACTATAATTATGACGGATGCCCCAATATGGCGGACATAGAGGCTTATGTCCGCCATATTGGGGCATCCGTCATAATGAAAAGAGAATGACGTCACATAGTCTGCTTGCCAAAAACTTTTACTTTTATTTGATATCCATATCAATAGCAACCCTATTGAAAATAAATTAAAGCAAATATATCTTCCATCCCAAAGCGGTGGCTATTTTGAAAAAAAAGTTATAAAATGATACCAAACTATATAATGTGCTATCTGTAATCGAAAATACAATTGGTTGCGTCTAAGAACTAAGAACTAACTTTTTCTTGTAATCAGTACAGTACAGTAGCATAATCAACTACCTTATTATAACAATGAGATATCAAATAATGTTTATGCACTTGAATTAACGTAATTAAAATTTAGAACTGGAATATTACAGTGGAGAAAGACTAATATTTTTACGTTTTCAGGTAGTACTTTACTCCTTTTCTTCTCGTAGATAATCCCAACGTCAGAGAAAAGACGTTCTGAATAAACATTACCCACTTTCTTCCCTGCCAAATACTTTTGCCTAATATTCGGCTATTCGTTGCAAATCTATTAAATTATTTTTTGGATTGTCAGAAAATTTGAAATCGCCTTATGTTATGTTTATCTTTTCTTGATGTACGTGTTGTATAATAGCGCTATATGGTATGCAGTGGTACGGCGTGTGCGTGGGCGGGTGGGTCGGCGCGTGGCGGGCGCTGTGCGGTGCGGGAGCGCTGCAGGCGCTAGCAGCGGCCACGCTCAGTATGGCGGCGGCGCGCGCGGGGAGTGCGGGGGGCGCGGGCGGGCGGGGGGTCGCGGGCCGCGCGTTCGCGGCGGGCGGGGGCGCAGCGCACGCCTCGCTGCTGCTGGCGCTACTGCGCTGGCGAGCCGCGCGGTCCGACCTCGCGCTGCCCGCAGTCGCAGCAGCCGCGTGGGGTGCGTGTGCCGCGTTATGGGACGTGCTGCAGGTACTCAAGGCTCTACAGGTCTATATATATACATTCTTCATCTGTGTGAAACTGTGTGACGAGTAAGGCGCGTGTACTGCGTTCTAGGTTGTATTTGTATTAGGTGCTTGTGGTATTCAAGCAAGTCCGTACACTTCGCTCTGGGCTGTAGATGCTTGAGGTATTCAAACAAGTCCGTACACTTCGCTCTGGGTTGTAGATGCTTGAGGTATTCAAACAAGTCCGTACACTTCGCTTTGGGTTGTAGATGCTTGAGGTATTCAGACAAGTCCGTACACTTCGCTCTGGATTGTAGATGCTTGATGTATTCAAGCAAGTCCTTATACTTCACTCTAGGTTGTAGGTGCTCGAGGTATTCATGATACTAACTGACGCATTCCTCGTTGATGTGATGCTACCGGACATCGCTGCCGCCGCCCAGGGCGCGTGCGCTGCGATCTGAGACGTGCTGCAGATAACCAATCTCGATAGATACCTTCTTCGTCTAAGAGAATCTGTAGGACAAGTAAGGCGCGTGTATTGCACTCTAGGACGTACTTGAGTTATTCAACTCACTTAGCTGACGCATTCCTTGTCGATGTGACGCTGCCGGACATCGCCACCGCCGTCTGGGGCGTGTGCGTCGCGCTCTGAGACGTACTACAGTATCCAATACTCGGCAGATGCATTCTTCGTCTATGTAAATCCGCGTAAGGCGCGTGCACTGCTCTATGGGACGTGCTGCAATTATCCAATACTCAGTTAAGTAAGTTAAGTATCAATATCAGTGAAGTACCTTGATACTTGAGGTATCAAGATACTTAACTGACGCACTCCTCGTCGATGTGATGCTGCCAAGCATTGCCGCCAACTCGCCGCCACCACCTGGGTCGCGCGCGCTATCAATATCAGTGAAGTAACTTGATACTTGAGGTCATCGACCAAATTGCCGCCGCCACCCGGATTGCGAGCTGCGTTTGTCCCAAAGGACGTGCTTCAGGTGCCAAATACTCGATAGATGAATTCCTCGTCGATTTAATTCTGACAGATTTTGTCAACAAGACCAGATTCTTCATCCTTTCAGCCTGTCAAAAGTACTACTGAACATAGTTTTTTAGGATAAGGGTGACAAGCGAGCACACAGTCCACCTGATGATAAGTGGTTACTGTGGCCCATAGATATCTACATCTATCCTCGTTTGCGAATCAAAAGGCAGATGCGTTGTCAGCAGTGAGGGCTACGATGGAATGCCTCTTTTCCAGTAAAAAGGGTCTCCGGTTCTCTATACTCGCCATACGAAACACAACAGCATTAAGTTGCTATTTTACTCTGGTATTCTGTGAAAGCGTGGTCCTTCCCCAGTCGAGCCGACACATAAAATTAATATAGCTGCAGCATGGCTCTACTATGTTAAACGGCTTATGTTCGATCCCTTCAAATATTGCCTCATTAATGGGATATTTGGCGGGGAAGATAACAATCACACTATTTGCATGGCCAGATTAAAGCAAAGTAAGCCAACTGCTTATAGACCTCGCATCGCTTAAGGGCCCTACAGTCTGAGACGACAAAACTCTATAGACGCGTCGTCTATATAACTACCGGATGCGACCGCCACCGAAAAGGGGCCCATGCGCCGCGCTGAGACGTGCTGATGCATGTACAATCTCAATGTGATTCTGCCAGATTTTGTCACCAGTACCAAATTTAATTCAAGACAAAATAACCACCTGCCTATGGGTCCCGCATTCTTTTCCTTCCACGCCCAAAGATTCATTACACTTTTATCTGCCAGACATCACCGCCTACAAATGAGCCTTCATCACCCGGCTCCTTCCCTACCGCTTTCGGTTCCTTCAGCTATATAGCTAGCCCATTGCCATTTCAGCTGATTGGGTTGGGTAAATAATTTCAAATTTCATATTTTTTTTATATCATACATATATTATAGGTACTAGATCCCTAAAAAATGCATATGGTAGCATGGTATAGGGATCTAGTTAAAGAAATTATGAGAAAGCATATTATTTAGGTTATGAACACTGGTGTTAAATCTACGTCTAATTGTTGTGCCATAGTACAAAAATTGTGCATGCTCTTATTCATAATGAATTTTGTCGATAGGTAGTTTTATTTAAAGGAACAGGCAGAAGATTGTTTTCTAAGTGGCAGCAGTAGTTGTGCGCAGCCATAGTTTATAAAGTATTATTAGCATATAGGGATTATATAATATTTAAAAAATAGCATAAATTTACTAATTTTAAACGTGCGTATAAAGGAAGTATATGATTTTTTTTTTACAGCGCGTATTGTAATCGGGTACGAATGTATTATGTTTCGACATATTGTTTAAGTATTTTGCATTATAACATTACAGTCGAGTATTTGCGTCGGCGGACCTGGCTGGCGAGGACCATGGTCACTCACGTTAGCATCGCGGCACGCCGGCTTGGCGTTGGCGTGCGTCGCTCGCCGCTTGCTCTGCGTGAAAGCGCAACTCGCCGGCTTAGCGCTTTCGCTCGCCGCAGCACTCGCCTCCCACATCGCACTCGAATTTCGCCAACGCCGAACCGAGGCTAGACGCTCCTAGCGCCACCACGGTCGCAAACGATGCCTGTCGACATCAGTTATATCCGCTGCAAGCCATATCGTCCCCGAAACGAACAATGTCACCAATAAATCGAATAAGTTAGTGACAGATGATATAGCTCTCGAAGCGGATTTCGCGCCTGAAGTACATGATCATGATCTGGAGCCCAAAAAAGAACATGCAAAAATCGACAATACCAGTACAGATGAATTCGATGTCAGTGGAAACGAAGTCAACGCCATCTCAGTCACCAATATAACCTCTGCTAATGATGATTCTGCTCACAGAGTAGACAATATCAATACGGAAAGGTGTGACAGTTCCCTCAGTGACTCGCCCCATGTTAGTTAATGTTGACAGAAAGAAACGTTATACCTAATGTTGTGTAAATGTGTTGTATAGATATAGTACCCCGATAAGTTATACTAGGTTTTCTACCGTAAAATTATAAGTATGTAATTTAGACTTGTTTCTATCACTGTATGTTCTTATAAAATGTGTTTTATGTACACAATTTTAGCACAGACTGTTATTTAGATTAGCTATGATTGGCGACAAATCTATATCTTATAATGTTAACATTAAATTTACACAGATATAATATGATCTTATTACATTTTTTTAATTTTATAACACATAACGTGACATGTTCTTTTGTCTAATTTTGACATTTGATTCAGTTAATAATTAAATGTATGTTACATAATTGCCTATTGCCATACGTTTGGCACTACATTAATAACCTATTCAATATTGTGCCAAAACCCCTGACCATTTGTACTTGATGGAATTAATTATAGCCTGACCGTTGTCAACTTAGTCCTCGGACTACATATTATTAATAAGGATTTACTATATCATATTGTTACAATATACTACCTTACTATGTTACATTTATATTTACTATATGTATTTTGTTACTATATTCTACCACTAACAATAACACCTTCGATATCGATATATCCACTGTGGTCATAAGACATCACTAGTGACACCGGGCGTGTAAGCGAGAGTTCCGATTAAGATACTCTTCACACAAGAACTCAGTTGACAACGGAACCAGAACAGTTCTAATCTAAGGCGTATGTTTAGGGATTTATGTAAATAACCACACTATTTTTTCACCGCCTAATACACTAGCACTTTGTTAAACTGTAAATATTTCAATATCCTTAGTAGTGTTCGACAACCTATGGTAATCATTAGATTTCATTATATTTTCATAATAGCGACTGATAATCGCCGAGTGGTGGCCGTAAGTGAGTAAGTAAGAATGTAAGAAAATTAATCACGCAATTTCGTATTTTCTGTATTTGATTTTCAATTTTAGAAATTAAAAAAGATCTCGTGATCTTCCATAGATAGGACGTAATCATCTCTTTTATACCAGACGTGTGGCACCGGGATTGGCAAGATACCTGCCAAGCGCGGCCATTAAGGCAAACCTCCCCTACCTGAGGGTCCATGAGTAACTATGGACTTTTACGGGTCAATAAAGACAATAGAAAAGAAGAAATGAAGGAAAACATTGGAGACAGGGATCGAACGTTGCTCTTCCTACTTTGACGTTGCTCTCCTTCACCGTTTTGAGTATTTTAAATGTGGAATTATAATTGATAGAATCAGGCGTTACTTTGCGGAAATCCATTATAATGGGGCTGTTATAAACTAATTTGCTTAATTTCGCGTAAAGAAAGAAAATGATGTGTCCTGCCCAGTTTTAAGGGGACCTCCTACCCTCCCTCAATCGCGCGCACTATACCCGTCGCCCTTAATCCCAGCACTACCACCCCCAGCACCACCACACTAGGCACGACACACCACTCTCGAAAATACGACACGTGTTTCGCTACACGAGGCATCCTCAGGTGAAGTAGACTCTGCGGAGGCTGGCCGCTAAGCACTTCACTTCACTTACGCGACGGGCGACAGGTATAGTGCGCGCGATTGAGGGAGGGTAGGAGGTCCCCTTAAAACTGGGCAGGACACATCATTTTCTTTCTTTGCGCGGAATTAAGCAAATTAGTTTATAACAACCCCATTATGTGGATTTATACTTCGTGCTTTGTCCTTCTAGATTAGTAATTGGAACTTAATAAACACATGTCGTATCTAGGTAGTATCACGCCTAGGATTCACTACTTTTCTCACTATAGTTAAGAATTAAAGTTTTTTAAATCCCCTCCTTTTCCCTTCTTCCTTTCGTCACAGGAGTAGAGAGAACCCCACACCCGCGGACCATCCATAGATTCTGCCCTCCTATGAAGTAATCTTAATAATCCTGATATATCTTAATTTTAGAGCTGAACACAAAACCTTGATATTTCCTGGATAATTAGGTACCAGAAGAGCGGGCGGGAGAGAATGAGAGCATCCATAACTTTTTCTGCCACCAGAGCGGCGCCACTTAAAAGTGAGGTATAATATTTGACAGATATCATAGCGGGGAAGTTAATTTGTTCGGAAAATGTAGAGGTTAATGTTTCTTGCTATGTTATTACCTATATTTGATATTAATAAGATTAAAAATAAATAAGCCAAACCACCGATTTTCATAAAAGTAGAAATTATTTAAAAAAGTTAAAAATGTGCAAAAAATTTGAGAGCAAACACTGAGGCATTGTTTTGTGTATTAATATAATACTTTTGAAAGTGATAAACTTTTATTAAAAACTAACTTCCCAATTAAATGAGATTCTGTAAGAAAAAACTTTACCTCAGTGTCAACTAGCGACATCTGTTGAGCAGAAAATTATTAGCCCTCATTACTAATCTCTTTGGATAAAGCACCTATAATAATTATGATAGAACTTCACTTATGGTAAGTTTCTTTTAATCATTAATTATTGAGGTGATTGCACCGCCATCTATCGAAGATCTCTGGCATTTCCTATAGTGGACTTTAGCGACACACACGAAATTGTATTGTTGATAGCAAAGAGATTTAAAATATATATATACTATTAAATGTCTTTGGTTGATAGACTCTTTATCTCTTACGCTGAAACCTTATGGTTTGCACCTTTGTGGTTTGATTTACTCAATTGAGTTGCTACTATGAAATATGGGTATCCAACCCACCATGGCGTTATTTGTAATGTTAATAAAAATAGTAATTAAAGATGAAATTATATATAAATCTTCTTTTATTTACTTCCAAAGTTTTGTAAATCTAAAATTAAAATGTACGTATTATGTACATGGTCGTTTTAAAATAAGTGTCTAACGGTCGATTTTATAATCTGATTGGTCGAGCACTACTTACGATGTTAAACAGATACTATATTACTTCTTCATGTTAACTATAAGGTTTTCAAAACGATAAATTGTTGGCGTACACACAAAATGTATTTTTTATTAATCCTCCTTTAAACATATTTTTTTATTCTTTTTGAGATTAAGGTATTAACAATTGTAAAACAATAGTGTCGCACACACACATGAACGTAATTTTACAGTACAGTTGACTGCTTAATTATTATTACATTCGATTCCATTACAGCCTATCACAAGTCCATTACTAAACGTAAGGGGAGGGTTAATATATGCCTATATATTAACCCTCCTTATAATTTTTATATAAAATTATAATAGTCTGTGCTTACTATACCCCTAGTTGCCACGCTTCGCAGAAGGGTTAGCAACCGCTAGTCTTCATTATCTCCTGAGAGCATTAATCTAGAGGTAGTTAATCAGCAAGATCTTATAGGTGATATTAACCGGTTCATGCGGGTGGCACGCCCCGCGTGCCATTGATTACTTTTGTGTGTGGCGTATGACACGCGTGTCGTATCTTTTTAAAAATCGTTATAACTCGCTCAAATTGCTTTTTTGGAAGATTTATCCAGATTCGTTTCTTGATATTTTGAAAATTTGAAATTTGCAGGGGTTGACAACCTTTTTTAAAGTGTACATGGTACTACTTTTACTTTGTGGGTTTTAAATCATGTTGTGGAAAAATAGTCTAATAAGTAAAAAATAATAGCACTCATCGCGATCGCTCACAAACTCAAGTTGTAAATAAATTTCTAGAAAACAAGTATCCTGTTAAAAGCAACAATGCGTTTGTCTTATTGTTTAATTTTGCTTAAAATGGTTGAACCGCCGTCTTATTACTATCATATGGCCGAATAGAACTACGAAGTACCATGTGCTCTTGTGATATGGTATAAGATTTATTTTTGCTTAAAATAGTTCGAAACCGTTCATGCATAAAAAAAAGTTCGCTAATAAATAGTCTTTTAGTCTAATAGTCAATCCGCTGCCGTATAGCGCCGGCGTTTTTTTTTTCCTTTTGAAAATACCTGTTTTGCTATTCTTACTAATTAGACGTTTTCAGATCGACTTTACTTTTATATTTGTATAACATTAAATAATATTTAGCATTTGTAAATATCAATGAATCATAAACCTTATTTTTTTCCAAATTAAGGTTCTTCATTGTTTGATAGTTACAAATGTTATTAATAAGTGAAAACTTAATTTAATAAAAACCAAGGTTTCCAGGGTGATTTAGCTGTACCTACTTATATAAATGATTTTTTTTTATAAAACAAAAAATAGTACAAAAGGTTTGTAATATCTGCGTAAAAAAATCACTTACTCTCAATTTCAAAGAAAACACGTAAAAAAACACGTAGTTAGTAGTTAGTCATGGATTCGACCCCACACAGAGTGATACAAGTACGTGCTTAAATACTATTGCTGACTTTGCACCCAGTGTGTGGCCTATATCGTGTCACTTGAGTAAGCAAATGTAATAGAGTCTGCATGAAAGATGTATTAGAATAAGTTTGCCATTGTTGAAGTACATGAGCTTCTGTACGGACATCTCTTAGTTTTATTTTAGTTTTTAAAAACGCCTCCACCGCTCCCGTTAACTTGACTGGCGCAGCCGGTAGGATCGCCATTTGCTTGCGCCGTCCGCGAAATAAATTCGAATAAAATCGTTTACCGCGTTCGTGCCGCGAGGCGATCCTGCGAACCAATATAAATTTGTC